TATTTCCTCCATTCTGATGATTCAAATGATGTCAACACCTAAAGTATTTCACTGGATAATCGCAACAAATGATTTATTGATAAATTTCGAAAGAAAAAATTACTATTGAACGGCAAAAGCACGGCATTCTTCTTATCTTTATCCATTACTTCAAATTACGTTCAAAAGAAAGTGGAACATGTAAAAACGATAGTGCTTATAAAATCTAGTTCAATCACTCTGTCAATTACGATATTATTACGGCGTGATTATGTATATTTTGATGTTGATGTCTTAAATCTAGTCGACTATGGAAAACTACTCACAGAATCTAGAAAGATTATTCCTTGAACACTATAGCTGTCTATTTAAAATGTATTAAATGAATAGGTTTTTGTCTATAGAGAGATCTCGAAAATTCAAAAAAAAAGAAGTCATGTATGCTGCATTATCAGCTCTATAGTTTTGCGAGGAATTCATGGCTCTGAAGCATATACATCAGCATGCCTTTTTTTATCATACTCATCAGTCTTTCTTAAAATTTTTCAATGTAATTAAATAGATGTCATTGACAATTTTTTGTATATATTAAAAAAAAATTTTGCGATAGCTACAGAACATGCCTAATATCGAAAATATTCTTAATTTCATGGAATTATCATTCATATTAAGATCAGGAGAATTGTCTTATCCTAGAAAAACTATTCTCAGATATTACGAAGCTTTTTCCTCAACAACAACAAAAATAATTAATATAGGAGGATGAAACAAAGTTTCATGAGTAGAACTATTTCAATATATGAAACATATTTCAACTGATAGTGAATTCTCGTAAACAAAGATGATCTTTTAGATGTTCATATTGAGATCAATCAATTAGTTTTTGTAATGAAACGAGAAGTTTCGATATGAAGACGAACAATATAAAACACTATTTGTCGATTCATTGATAAATCTTTCACTTGAACGATTATCAACATAAGCTTTCAAAACAATTCCGCGAATTATATTTTTGACAGTATGTTTCTGTATTTTTCATACGAAAAATTTCAAAATCCTTTATATATAAAAGAAGACAAAAAATAAAAATTGTTTTTCTATAGTTACTATTCGCATCTTTTTTCTTTTGAAGTTTGAATGGAAAAACAATCACGAACTGAGAATTTAAACTTAAGTGCATTATCCGCTCGTTTTTCCTTCAATTTTAATGTATTTCTTTTCTGTTTATACAGACAGCAATTATCCTCTCAAACAACGTTTCTTCTTCCTACCATTCAGCAACAAGCACACGACATATGAATCGTCCTTATACATTACACTTGAACAACGAGAGAAATGAACGTACCCGTCGATCACATATCGTTTTACAGATGAATCTATTCAAAGAGATATGTGTACAGACGAACAATATGTCGTGTTCTGTTTCACGTACGATGTGTTTTCTTCAACACTTCAACTCTATCATAATTGAAACATGCATAACTTAATAAAACCAGTTCCGTGTGTTGTCAGAAAGGTCATGTAGTGATTATGGAATTGATAAAAATAATCTGAAAAGTACATATCCTAATAATAACTATTTTCAATTATTAACCTATTGGTACATCGTCGATGGAGTTTAATCTGAATACTTGAAGCTATATTCATTCTAATGATAAACGTATGCTAGCTAAAATTAAAGTGTGCTTATTGAGATTCGTCAACAATTGATGGTTTGAGATTGTAAAAGAAATTCAATTTAATCATCATGTTTCGTATGCATAATGTTTCCGAAAAATTTGTATGATTCTTTCTATTAATATTTATGAAACTCCTACATTTTAAATGTTAACTTGAGTACTATCTCAGTGTAATCTATTACATACAGAAGATTTGTTTTGTTTTGGTTCGATCGAAATTTCTTTTATTGTCTGAAGTGTTTTAGAAAAAATGATGTGATTTAATACATTATATGTAAGATGATGTTAAATAAAAATCAGTAATTCTAAAAATTCATTTTTGCAACAAGAACGTTTTTTTTTTTGTTGGAACTAAATTGTTTTTTTTTTATTTTATTGAATTTATCGAGAGATATTTACGGAGGACATAGTGATAGAATGAGTTTTTTAAAAATTTCAGAAGCAAGAACCGAGTATAGACGCAAACAAAATTTTCTGTTTTTTTGAAATACAATTTTCAAAAAGAATCATTATTGATGTTGATGTAAATATGTATCTGCTATCATGATGAGTATATTTTAAAAAAAGGAAATGGTAATTTAAATCTATATTCAATTCTATAAAAGCTATCCACATATTTGAACTTGTTCCGACTATCTTCACCATAGTCGAAACAAAACTAAGTCATGATGAATTTATTCGTTGTATTAGTGCTTTCACTGATAGAAATTTTTTTTTTGTCTTTCGTGCTTTTAGAATGTCATGATTCGATCAAATTCTTTTTTCAGATTAGATTCTAAAAACAGAACTCCACAACATGAAAAGAAAGAAAAAAAATTGAAAAAAGCTGTCATCAAAACAACAAAACAATGTGCTTATTGAAGAAAAAGCAAAAGCATACATTCTTTTTTTCTTTTGTTTGTCACCTATTTTTCAAGGATATTTTATATTCTTGCTATACGAAATTTTTTTATCAGAGACGAAAACAAAAGCAAACAAAACTTCAAAGAACATAAGGTTTAAGTTTTGTCAGATACGTTTCTAGATACTATATAAATCGTCATAAAAAAATCAATGTCTTTATTTCATTTTAGGTTTATCTGACTGAAACAGATACAAAATAAATAATTTAATTTTTAATCTAGAAGATAATATGATATTATTTCTCTGCTGAAGTTATGTAAAAAATTGGAATTTATTCAACGAAAAGAAAATCATTTTATCAATTTTCTGTCGTTTGCTTGGCAAAAAAATAGTTATATTATTATCATCGTTGAAGAATCTAATTTTTCAGTGTAATCTCAATAACTTGACAACAGCAATAGCCAGTGTTGCTTGTGCCTTTCACAACCATTGAACAAAGAGAACTCTATTAGAAGTCTTTTCATCTGATAGTATTAAAGAGAAAATTATTTTGAAATCTATACTCCTTGTAAAAAATTCAAAAACATAGATGAAGATGTTATTTAATTTCAAGTAAATTTTAATAATGAGAAAATAGTGAGACGTTAATCATCTGAACCGTAACTAGAACTGTGAAACTGAAGCAGATGTCAAAAATTGAACTTACATCAAAGTGGAACATCTTTACATTTTTTTTTTAAATGTTTTACGAAAACGATTTGTTTTAGAAATCATCTTACAGTACAAAGTGTCAGATGAGTTATTGAAAATACAGAAATGTCTCCTTTTTCTTGGCCAGAAATTAGCTATTAGGATTAACTCAAAAAACTTCAACAATATCGTTGATTAAGGTCATCAGAAGTCAAGAACGAATTGTACAGGGTGTGAGTGTGATAGAGAATAAAATTATGTTTAATTCATAACCTTCAAATTTTATAAACAAACAATCGTTTTTAATGTTTTGTTTTATAAAAATCAATCAAAACACAAGCAAAGTGTTGGTCAAGTTGTTAAACCTAAATGAAAAACTAATCGAGTAAAATACGTTAAAGTTGAAGTATGATGTCGATCAACATTGATGTTAATATCATCCAAACATAATATTTAGAGAGAAAATGAAAGTTTTTTTCTTGAATTACTTAAATTATCAATGTCAAATATATCTTAATCAAATGATCATTTAATTTTCTAATTCAAATTTTATTTTAGAACTGAAATTAACATCTTATTGTGAATATAGTAAATAACTATTAAAAATTAAACTCGATCAAAATAATATTTGTAATATTCAATTGTAAGCTTCAAAAAAAAAATATGTTAATGTTAGTCGAAACAAAATGTGAAAAATGATTTCATAATCCTGAATAAAAGTAGCAATAACATCGAATTGTTGATCATTTTCAATAAAAAACATATTTTGTTCGTAAGTTTGTTGAAGTTAAAGAGTGAATTTTTTTTAAATAGAAATTCAATTATTCACATTAAATATGTATGAAATTTGTTAATTAGATTTTTCCTATCTAATAAAAGTTTTTTTAAAGTTTAAATAATTTAAGAATTGTTTCATGAAAATAAAAAGAAAAATATTTATACTTTTTACTTTTTTATGGCATATTAATATTAATGCACATTTAAAAACAGCAAGCCTGATAAGTATCTTCCGAAAGACTCAAGTTGTTTTTGACCATCAATGTTAACATAACCTTTCCTCTTTTTCTATTCTTTATCTCTATTTCAGGATATGCAATGCATGAGTTATTACTCAAATTGACGGCGAATGTATTGTTTTTATCCGCCGTTTCATTCAATCATCGTCTGTTTGCTAGAATGGCGAGTGCACGACATTCAAGTTATCCTTACACATTCGAGATGAAAACACAGCCGAATTGAACATGAAATGTTTAAAGACGACAAAGATATCGTGCACTCAAGATTCCATTGCTTGGCAAACACCGGTTGTTATCATGCGCTGCGTATTATCATTCCGTTACGTCGACGTCGTCTTTTATTGCGTCTTTTCGTTTTCATATCTTATCTTTCTTCCATTTCTACTTCTTCTTGTCCTTCATAACAGAAGAATAAAAGTAATTTTCTAACTAATGGAGCTTTTGAGGGTGGCTCTAAAACAATTGAACCTTCCCCAGGGATATCCGACGTTCTGTTGGTGACCCGTGCAGGCGTGCAGATGGTAGGCCTTCACAACATACATCAATGTGTGTATGAATAGAAGCGTCCATTTCGTCATCGTCTTTTCGAAGATGATGATCATGGTCGTACTATTCATACATACATCGATGTATGTTTGCCTAACCATTGCCGGCTTTGTCCACTGTACGAGCCAGCAGAATACGGAGGGTATCTCTGGTCGCGCGTGCGCGAAATTTTGCATCTGCTTGCTTCGGCGAGCCTTGGGTTCAAGAAGGCGAGTTTATTTTCTCTTTAAGAATGAAAAAAAAACAATTAGATTTTCTTTTTTACATTGTCAATGTTTCTTTTCACAAGAGCAATATGTGGATGATTTGCAGGAAGTGATTTTTGGAAGATTTCTTGAGCTTTTTCGTAATGTGAAAGTGCTTTCGAATACTCGCCCATGTTACCATACGCCGTACCGATGTTGAGGTAGGTAGAAGCCAAGTTGGGATGATTTGGTGGAAGAGCTATTTTCTTGATTTCAAGTGATTGTTCGTGCGATGAAAGTGCTTTTGAGTACTCGCCCATGTTATCATACAAAGAACCGATGTTGTTGTAGGAAGAAGCCAAGTCGGGATGATTCGGAGGGAGAGCTATTTTCTTGATTTCAAGTGATCGTTCGTACGATGAAAGTGCTTTTGAGTACTCGCCCATGCTATAATACACCATACCGATGTTGTGGTAGGAAGCAGCCACGTCGGGATGAGTCGGAGGGAGAGCTATTTTCTTGATTTCAAGTGATCGTTCATACGATGAAAGTGCTTTCGAGTACTCGCCCATGTTATAATACACCAAGCCGATGTTGTTGTAGGAAGAAGCCAAACTGAGATCATTTGGAGAGAGAATTTTCTTGTAAATATCCAGTGATTTTCCGTAATATAAAAGTGCTTTTGAATACTCGCCCATGTCTTTATACACCGAGCCAAGTTGATGATTGTAGTCTGCTCTATGTTTATCAGAAGGCGCCTTTTCAATGAGGATCTGATAGAGTTGTTCAGCTTTTGCAGGCTCACCCAATTTAATAAGTATGTGACCAAATCGAGCCCATCCTGTTGCCCAAGTGGACTCTTCTCGCAGATGTGCTGTAAGTGTGTTCAATTCATGATTGTCATTACCGACAATAGTGAGATTAACTTCGTATAGCCGATCAGAGTGATTATCGGGAATTCGTTCAATGCGATCGATACGAAAAATCGCATGTGTTGAAAAGAGTATTTCTTCCTCTTTATCTTTGTAGTAGCCAACTTTGCTTACTTCAGCAAATGGTGTTGATGAATTTGCACAAATAGCCGTGTCAATGTTCATAATGAAAAGGATGCCAACTGAATTTGTATTTAATGCTGCTGGTCGTGCAAAGTTTTTGAAAGATATCTCACGATTACGACTTGTTGACAGAAAATTATTAAAGGACATAAGTCCTCCTTTGGTTTTTTTCATTTTTTCAAAATCTTCCATGGACAAACC